GTGACTATGGGGTTTACCCCGTCTGCGGTTCATCACACCTAGGTGTGTAACAAAAACAAAAGACAAACATCAACATCACACAGCTGAAACAAAGTATGCTATAGACATTTCGCTCTCCTTTCCGTTGTTAGTTTGTCGCTTGCAAACTTTACTTTTGCCCATAAACCTTGCTTGTATTCTGGTTACTTTAATCTCACACGTCTGTGTGATGAACGGCAAGCAGACCCACATTCGTGGGTTACGGAAATCGGCAACCCAAGCCCCGGGACTTGGAAGGATGAACCCACTTGGTTAGGCGTGTGGTTGAACCGTTCAGTTCAGTTGGAACCTGTTCGCTCTCGCATATTGGGCCCAGGAGTAGCTGAACTCCCGTTTAAGGGTAACAGATCATCTCTTTCCCTGTAGCGTAACTGCTTCGCTAATCGAACCACCATCTTTCTTCAGAAACTTACCACCACATTGCAACCATATCGCGCCGAAACACTCGTGATGCCCGGAAATTTATCCAATCCGAAGTTGATCGACCTCTAAAGGACAGCGTGATTGAGACTTCAACTACACCCTGGCGCGCACAAGTCCTTTTAACCCTAAATGAACGGCACAAGAGATGCAAGCTTGCTTTGGTAGTAGCAAGCCTTGTTGTCGTCCGGCTCAATACTACGCCTAACCTAGTGGGCCTCATGTGGTTCGCCACTCCAAGTCCTGGGGATTACGCTAGTGGTTTCCATGACGAAGCAGCAGGTCTTTGTGACTATGGGAGTTACCCCGTCTGCTGTTCATTACATACAAGTGTGTAATAAAAAAATGAGGGTTCACTATGGTTAAACTATTGACCGCTAGACGCTGTTGGATGCAAACCCAGTGTCACGCATAGATGAAACGGTGTCTGAAATATCACGATGTTGTCTCCGGTGCACTAGATCTACGAAGTGCACACCGCCAACTTGTTATAGAAGATAACCGATCATTTACTGCCTTTGAAGCGGGCGGCGAGCTGCACCAATTTTGTCGATTGCCTTCTGGAGTAACTACCAATCTCGCTTGCTTCCAGCGGTCAATCGGTAAACAGAGTCAAAAGAAAAGCCCTCCGGGCACCTTCACATACATCGACAGCATTAATCCAGACTGATTAGATTTAAAAAATGCTCGATTCGGAATATCACGTCAAAATTAAAAATGATAAAATTCAGAGATGGAGAATTGACGTTATCAAACACCCTGAACACGAAAACCTGGTGGCTGATGCGTTGTTTCCTAACTTCTACTGTATCTGCATCACTCGAGCCACAATTACATCATACGCTGTCATCCGCCTTCTGGAGTGGAACTCTCTGAATGTCTATCAGCCCAACCACCAGTCGAACGATAATTAAGGATGCTATCCAAATGTCAATCAAAACATCGGCGGATTATGGAGCGCGATCTCATCAACCACGGTTGCCCCGATGGACGCTCGCAAAGCCAGTGCAACTGATGCCAAATACGACAAAGCACGCGAATCCCTTCCGGACGCTGATTGAACCCTGGAGACGCACTGCACATAAACGACTGTTGACGGGGATCCAATCGATAAGAGAGGACTCCGTCCCATTACTGAGTACAATACCTACCCCGCGCTGACCTACTGAACGAGCTTCATCGTCGCCTGATGTGCGAACAACGTATCTCGTCGACAAATCTGGCGCGCTCAACTGGCTTAGAGTAGTAGGATCCTGTATCCGAGTTTCCGACAGGCAGCAAATATCGACTCCTAAGGATTCCATTGTACGAGCCAGGCAAGCTTGTTGACCTAGCTGCATCAAAGTCCTCACGTTGAAGGCCCCCGGATTCAGTGATTGACGAGGCTTCAGAATCTGCAATCCACTCCGTGGTAAATCACTTACAGTGCTATTTGGCAATGACCTTTGGCGAGCGACGAACAAGTTGCCTGAGGGACTATTACAGGTCGGTAGAAGGGGTAAAGGGAGAGGGTTGGGAACGGAAGACAAAGGATTAAACAAAGGTTGGGACATCTGAGCAGTAGCCCACTTATCACTACCAATCCCGCTCGATGCAATGGGCAGCGCGGTCCTGATTATCCTGCACGACGACCGATGCAGCATGAAATTATTTTTTGTCTGTGTTTGTTGGAGCTTTATGGACGGGTACTGCTAGGGTGTCCAGCCACTAAGCAGGAGAACGATTAGGGTTCTAGTTCAAAGCCTTTAGTTTTGACAAGGACCTAACCGCAAGACAGCGGTTCAGGCGGATTGGAGACCCATTTACTTAGATCAATTACTCCTCTACCGCTTTTTAGCGACTGAAACGCCAAATTCCAGGTGAACCCCCAACCTGGAGACTGAACTTCGTCTGAACTCTACCCATTGACCTTCCAGGCATGATAAGATCTCCTGGCTTTGTAAAGCCACCCGGTGCAGATCGTTGAGTCATAGAGGTGCACAAGCCATCACACCACGTCAAGGTGTAATCTCATAGTGATGGCGTAGTCTCATAGTGATGCACAAAGCTATAGGAGTACCAAAAACACTGGAGAACTCGGATGCATAGCACTACTTAAAATCAACTTTAGCTTGTTTTTTCCTTCAACATCCTGCAATTGTGGCACACCGGCATCAGTGTCAACGCCGAATGGTGTCATTTTTAAATATATCACTTTTAGTCGAATATCTGGTGAAAGCAACCTACAACCTACATCGATCGGCTTTCTACAGAAGTTGGGAATTAATCGAGATATCTGAATGATTTATATAATAATATGGAAGTGTTAAATGAAAATTTCAAAGCTACGCTAGATAAGAAACACAATCTATGGATATCTGCTTATCAGACTGTCAGGAAATAGGTATCTGACAGATGACCAACAGCACCACAAAGCTAAAAACTGATATGCAACGCCTAACGCAACAAACTTCTGACTCAGGAACTAGTAACGTCATACCGGTACCAGTTTCTATAAGAACTATTGACGATTATCAGCTACTTTTGCATAAAAACCACTTGTGCAAACATGGTGAGTTGAGCCATTTTGGTGAATTACATAATTTACTTGCGATACCTCTCAAAGTCTGGCGGTTATTCAGCAGCCGATACAAGGACAATTTTACGAACATTGTTG